CTTAGCACTCATGGTGGATTAAGTGCATTTTACGCTTTGACAATGGAGAGCCGACCAAGCTCGTTGAAACGTCAGCATCCTAATAAACCTGTTCCGGTGAGCCAACCTTATTCTTCTTCTTCTTCTTCTTCTTCTTCTTCTTCTTCTTCTTCTTCCTCCTCTCCTTCTTCTTCTTCTTCTTCTTCTTCTTCTTCTTCTTCTTCTTTTTCTTCTTTAAACGCCTAAACTTTGCACGTAGCTTCAATGCTTGTTTTAGCATTACAGTGTATGTGTAGGGAGGTGTTATCCAAAACTAGCTTTTTTAAGAACGAGGACTAAACCTTCGAAAGTCCAGAAACCATTCATCTTGAATATTCTTGTCGTTTCGAAGTTTTCGGTTGATAAATATTAATGGATGTGGTCTATTTTGAAGAACCTTTGTGCAATCCATTCAATCTTTCTGTGAACCGTAATAAAAACACTTAGCTGCTCCTCCCTTGTTGTAGTATCCGGTTGCATAAGAATGCACTTACGTCTGATATTTCCTAACTGGCCGAGTTCCTTAACGGCATCCTCCGGGTCGTTCAGGGACTGCAGTTATCACCGAAAAATAATTTTGCAGAAATTCAACTCAAGAAGTCTCGTAGAGGCCGGTGCAGCGCGTGTGAAAATGTTCGACCAATTGCCTGATAGTCGGCGGAAACACTCCGCAGATTGCTTCAATTAGTCACTCGCTAACCCATCATGGATACCTGCCGGACTATCATCCTTTTCATTAACACACGGGCAGAATATCGGGTGCTCATTTATAGGGTCATCAGCATCCCGAAACGTCTCCTATTGAGCGTTCGTGCTTTTCGCTGACTGACAAGTTTGTGCACGAGCGGGTTCTGCATACCCTCTAACGACCGACTGGCCAAGGCCGAGCGGTTAATTCCAATTTTCTGCTGAGGCCTATGTTTTCGCTCTCTCAACTACGATGACAGTGGTCAACGGCTGGGATGCCGGCAATTAAGTCAATCCTTCCGAAACGATCTTCGAACAACTATCCCACCCACTCAAGCGTCAGTGCCGGAAAACATCGATCAGACATGCGTGAAAAGGAACAGACGTGACCCTACATTGCTGGCAGCAGGTATAGAAACATATTCACCCCCTGTTTTAATGCCCCAGACTGTCTCTGCAAACAGCCACACTCCCCAGTTATTAACTCAAAGCTCTGGCCCCCTCCTAGCAACCGATGTATTCCAATCGGACCAAAGCACTCAGGATTGGCTAGCTGAGATTTCCACTTTTCTCTTTGGTGTTCCCTCGGTTGACCACACTCGGTACATGTTACGCTTTCTGTCACCTACTTAACGTAAGCTGGTAATTACCTCCAACATACCTTCCTCATCACTGACACTGACAAGGCGGAGTTGTTTCGTGCACTCTTTGCAAAACACCTTAATTCTGAGTCCGAACCAGTCCCTTTCTTTCGTTCACTTTCAGATAGGACACTGAGTACGATCGATGTCGCCTCAGATCTCATTGAGAAACACATAATTCATTTAAAAAACTTACATTGCTCAGGAACGGACGGGATTCCAAATTTGATTATTAAATAGGCATCCGACCTTCCCATACCACGGAGACATTCACGCAAATACTAGATGTAAATTTGGTTGAACAATACCGCTTGTATGGAAAGAACAGCCCTGTGGTACCAAACCAACGCCTTGCCTACACCTACCGCTAAGCGGATGACTGTCATTTCATTTTGCCGATGTCATCTACAACTGAATGTTGTCGAGTTTCGGTCATGCATTTTAAAAGAAAATATTATATCAAGTGTATATAATACTGACAAAATTTTAGTACCATGTTTATTTAAAGTTAGATATTGCATGTGCCGTTTTCAATAGGGTTTTCAAAGGCATTGCCTATTACCCTTAAAATGTACTGACCTATTGTTTAGTCATTTATTCTCGGTTTATATTTCAAAAAGATTCTTTCCTGACACATGGAAAACGTCAATTATCATCCCCGTCTTCATGTCTGGATCTCGGTCCGATGTTAATAACTATCGGAGCGTGCATAAAACACCGTCTCCAGCAACACTTCTTGAAAGGATAATTTTCGATGAAATTCTTGACTCTGTTTACCTAATCGGCTTCTGAGCTCTAGTCAGCATGGATTTTTACCTGAACGATCCTGAGCAACATGCCACCTTGCATTTCTTAATCTAGTCAATTCTCTTCGTAATGAGCAGCAGTCAGTGGTAGTTATCTACTTTGATCTTAGCAAAGCCTTTGACAAGGTGCCCCATAGACGTCTTTTAGTAAAATTGGAAGCTCTCGGCATCCGGCCGCCTCTACTCGACTTTATCGTGTCCTATCTATCCAACTGATATCAGAAAGTCATGGATGGTAATAACTACTCGACACATCAATCGATCAAGAGTGAACGTCTGAACGACAGCCAGAGTGAAATAATGGAGTAATAATAGAGGTTCTCCAGTAGTCAGGAAAGAAACCATTCGCGAGAAAGACTGAAAAAAGTTTGCTAATTAGAGGAGGAAAATCTCTTAGTTGTTTTATAAGAGAGTTCGCGATGTTGTCAGTTCCTACTGAGTGCGGGTTTGTAAGATGACTTATCAGCCTCGGAATATTTGTAAAAGCAAAATAAATAGTTGTGAGGGAAGCATCAGACGACGGAAGAATTGAAGGGATGGGACTCGTTTCAGTGGTAAAATGTCTCACAAAGAAGGAATTTAGCAATTCTGATTTTCCTGACTCCATTGTGATGAAGGCATTGTTGGAAATGGGCAAAGGCGGAATGACTTGGTGGGAGTTAGCTGCTGATCACTGACGGAAGAGCTGTCAAAAGACCAAGAAGGATTCGCACCACTAATAGCTAAGAACCCTCTAC